TTTAACCCTTTCCTATACCAACTGTATGTGTGTGTATGTGTTTATGTAGTATGTTAGACTAGTTTAAGTGTTTATGTAGTTAATAAAATCTTACTTTTCACACTTGACGTTGTTCATTGTTTGCTCATAACTGGAGTCCCTAATCATGCAGATTTATGCTACAAGCTCTGTGTAGAGTTGTACAGTATGAAAGTTATTTCCCTTAACCAGGAAATTAACGTTCTTAGAATTGACAGACAGTTGACCCTGAGAGGTCAAGTAAATATCTACAGCGGATCTAAATGTTTATAATTATAACTAATTATTCATATTTCCCCATGAGCTGATTCGCTACACACTGAAACACTTTATCATGAGCTTCACATGTCAAATGAACACAGTGCCAAGCTTCACTCTGAAATCCACATTTCATCGGCTATTATTATCCATATTATTATTTCATATTAATATGTAACTAAAATATGTTAATATGAATAATTATATATTAATATTATACAAATATAGTAACAATAAAAATCATTACATTAATAATTATTTTTATAGTCATGTAGGAAGTCAAAATTATTATTTTTTTTTTTACTGGTTACTGAAAAAAAGGTTACTGAATAAAATGCTATTTTTCAGTTGTTGTTGTTATTATTAATAATATTATTGTTTTCAATGGAGATCCATACCCCTATAAAATTATATTTTTCAGTTAGTATTATTAATATTATTTTCTTCAATGAGATCGACACCTTTTGAGAAAAAAATATCACCCTAGTTATTGTAAAATGATTGTTTCCAAATTGAGTTGTTCAAGTCATCTTGTGTTTAAGTAACATTTTTCATAACAAAATATATCAAAGGAAAACTAGTTTGAGACATTTTAAGGTTCTAGATTTTGAAATGTTATACAAAGCCACTTCAGTGAAAAAACTGTGGTGTGAACATGCAGGAGGCGGTTTCTGCATTGTTTTGTGTAATCTGATAGTGTTTTGGGTTCAGTGTTGTTGGGTGGTGGAGGGTGAGGCCGGTAAATCCTGCTCTCCTCTTACTGCTACGGCACCAGCGCTGCCTCATTTTCACGTGAAATATTGATACACCTAATTTAACTCCAGAGGCAGCTCAGATGTCAAAATGTGCGGGTCTGGCGAGTGAGAATCTCTCCTGCGTCTTGGGTGGGCGGCAGTTAAGACTAGGGGCTTTGCATTATGCAGGTCGATTCTGAAGAAAATCACGGATATCCGCATAAATATCTGAAGCTGAGAGAACCCAGGTGTAAAACGACTCTCGAGAAAACTTCTAGAGGAGCCGGTTGATTGGGTTATTAAATGTTTGATTGCTTCGTCTCAACAGGAAGCTGTAATTTAGCTGGAACACAGGTGGTCTAGTGCTGTCACTGATCTATCTGAGCTCCATCAGGATGGATGAGACTGAGAAGAAAACCCTGACCTTACCTCACTTAACGGACACACGATGGTTTGAGAAGGAACAACAGAACAAGAATGGTAGTCGTAAAGTACATGGTCACTTTATTTGATGAAAATATTAAAACAGTAGCATGTACAACTTGGAATGAATGCAAA